CCATATAAATTTCCTCATCTAACTCGCCATTTAAAAAAGTTGTTGTAACATCTATTTGATGTATTTCTAGATTATACAAAGCTGCATTCGCAATCAACATGCGAATGGATGTTATTCTTGTCACCGGTGAATAGGTGTCAAAATAATTAAGGCCTTTCTTCTGCCTGTATCCATTAACAACAAGCCTAGCCTTGTATTTATCTATTGAACCATCTGCTTTCATTTTTCTCTTGAATATCCACTTATATCCAAGAGGTTTACTTCCTGGTGGAAGATCCACCAATTCCCAAGTATGATTTTACAGTATTTATTCAATTTCACTATTCACAGTCTCTCTCCACAATGGAGCTTCAGGACTTGACATTGTTTCCTTGAAGTTTTGAGGCTCATTTTCTAACAGGTATGTCAAAAACTATGGACCAAATGATTTAGAGATCCTAGCCTTTTGCTACGTCTAGGTTCATCTGATTCATTATCATTGTGGTCTTCACTACTACCCATAGAAATATCAAAAAGTTTTTTTATTCGAACTTTTCTCTTCAATTTCCTTGCTAGTAAAAATGTGTTAAAAAAACGATGCATTTCTTGATTCAATAATAGTGTTTACATGCATATCCTGATTTTCAGATCTATGAACTAAAAATCTATATGCACTACTATTATTGGCATATCCAATGAACACACAATCAATGGTCTTTGGTCCTATCTTAGTCATTTTGGGACTAGGGACTGCCACATTGGCCAAACACCCCCAAATTTTAAGGTAATTATAGGTAGGTCGTCGACCTTTCCATAATTCATAAGGTGTTTAATTGAGTTTCTTGTGGGGTACCCTGTTCAGGATAAAGTTAGCAGACAAAATCGCCTTTCCCCACAAGTTCTAAGGTAACCCTGAACTAATCAACATGGCATTCATCATCTCTTTAAGGGTTCGATTCTTTCTCCCAGCAACTCCATTTGACTGAGGAGAATAGGGTGCAATGGTTTGGTGAATGATACCATGTTCAGAACAAAATTCTTCAAATGGTGCATCATACTCACCACCTCTGTCACTCCTTACTATCTTAATAGTTTTGCCAAATTGATTTTCAACCTCAAGTTTATATTGCCTAAAAGTTTCTACGGCATTGTCTTTACTTCTCAACAAGTAAACATAGTAATATCGAGTGCAATCATCAATAAAAATACTCCCTCCGTCCCAAAATATTGGTCCTTTTTGGGGAATCTAACTTTTTTTGGTAGTACACTTATTGGATTTGAAAAAAGTTGATTTTCCAAAATTACCCTTTTGATAGTACATTTTTTGGGAATATCAATGTCATAATTGTACTTTTTAAATTGTTTATTAATTTAAAAGAAGGGTAAAATAGGAAATTTACATTATTTTGTACTTGATTTATAAAGAGGGACTAATATTTTGGGACAATGAAAAATGGAATAAGAGACTAATATTTTGGGACGGAGGGAGTAATAAAGTAATTCTTATCTCCTCTAATTTGAATAAATTTTAAATCACAAATATCTTTGTGAATTAAACTTAGAGATTCAATACTTTTTTCAACTTTATTAAATGATGTTTTAGTGAGTTTTGCCTCAACACAAATCTCACATTTATGATTATGATCAAATTCTAAGTTAGGTAAACATTCTAAAGCAACAAGTCTACGCAAAGAATTAAAATTAACATGTCTGAATCTACCATGCCATAAGAAATAAGACTCAGCAATATAAACAGAAGATGTGTTCTTATTATTAAAAGCCAAATTCGGTACGATAGTTATTACAGTGAGCTTAAAAAGCCCATCACTCATGTAATCTCGCCCCACATACATTCCACTCTCGGAGAGTATAACTTTATCAAATTCAAAGACTAATTTAAACCCATTCTTGATCAACAATGACCCAGAAATCAAATTCTTGCGAATCTTTGGCACATGGAGTACATCGTTAAGAGTGAGTTCTTTCCCCGAGGTCATTTTCAGCACAATCTTTCCTTGTCCTTCTACAATTGAAGTGGAGGAGTTTCCTATAAAATGTTATTCCCCACTTTCCACAATTTTGTAGGTTGTGAACATCTTCTTATCTACACAGATATGGCGGGTTGCTCCAGTATCCACCCACCATTCCTTGGATTGCCCACCAAATTTGCTTTAGAGACTACTACAGCAAGATTGATGTTTGCCACTCCATCAGAAAGATAAAAATCCTCAGTTATGTTGGCTTGTGCTGGCTTTTTGCTTGAACTCCCTCCGTCCTTGCGAACGTGACAATCCTTAGCGCGATGTCCATCTTTGCCACACACAAAACATTTTTCTTTAAACCTTTTGTTGAACACGTTGTTGATCCCTTTATTGATCTTGCTATGGATCCTTGTTTAGGACCATTGCCATTATGCTTCCGTTTCTTGTTATTGAACTTTGACCTATGTTCATGTTCTACAACATTTGCTTTAGCGTGCATGATATAGTTTCCTGAATGCTTGTCGGAACCTCGATTGCCCTCCTCAATTCCGAGCCGCACTATCAGTTCCTCCAATTTCATCTCCTTGCGCTTATGCTTCAGATAATTCTTGAATTCTTTCCAAGATGGTGACAATTTTTCAATGATTGCCGCTACTTGAAAAGATTCACTGAGAACCATCCATTCCTCATGTATGTCACAGAAAATTATTTAGAGATCTTGAACTTGGCTAATAACCGTTTTGGAATCCATCATTTTAAAATCCAGAAAATAACCGACAACAAATTTCTTTATACCGGCGTCCTCTGTTTTATACTTATAATCTAGAAATTTCCACAATTTTTTAGCTATGCTTTTCACACTATACACATTGGACAGTGTATTGTCCAACCCATTCAGGATGTAGTTTTGACACAGAAATCACCATGTTTCCATACATCGACTGCGGAAACCACTTGCCGGTCAGTTTCTTTCTCGTTCAGTACCGGTGCCTTTTCATGAGTGAAGCGAGCCAAATTCAATGTGGTAAGATAAAACATCATCTTTTGTTGCCATTTTTTAAAATCATTACCATCGAATTTTTCTGCCTTCTCCCCCATGATTTACCGGTACTGCTGGAGTCATCACTGGCACAACAGGTGTGGGGGTTTGATTAATAACAGTCTCAGTACTGTTAATTTTAATTGTCATAATTCTGACAAAATAAAAATTATACCAATCACAAATTTATACATAAAAGAAAATACACACAAAATATACAGAAAAAATATTTTGTAACAAAATTCCAATGATAAACAATATATTAATATTATGTTATCAAAGAAATCATTAAACAGTATATTACTATTATTTAAGAGATTGAACAAGATATTACTACTATTTAATTTTTCGAAACAAAATATTTGTCTGTCTAACGCAGAAATAAATAAAAATAAAAAAATCTACTTTAAGATTGTTAGAACCCACAAAGGTGTATGTGTGTAAATTAAATGTATAAATTAAATAAATAATAAAATAAAATAATTGAGAAAATAATTATAAATTATTTCCTGAATTAAATGCTTACAGAAATTAATGTCGAGACTTGTGTTGGACACAATCTCCTTAAAGTAGATTTCGCCCTCACTCCGGTGCTTAGAGTTTTACCGGCGTCTACTTCCCAGGATGCAATAACTAGCACTTAAATTTGCAGCACTACAAATTCAAGTCTTGTGAACCAAAACTTTGTTGAAACTATTTCTTTCTTTTCCTAAAATTAAATATTAAATAAATACAGAAAATAGGAAGACAGAAAAGGGAGAAGAGAGACAAAAATCTGAGGAAAAATGTATATTCAAAATTGCTAGAAGGCTGGCTTTTTATAAGCAGTTTGGTGGCTGTTCGATCAGGTAGAAAACCTGTTCGGACATATTGAAAAGGCACCAACAGATTTGAATCTGTTTGGAACAGATTTAATTCGGGTTGAACCTGTTTTGAACCCATTGAACTGTTCGGGTGGGTTGAACTTGTTAGGGACCTGTTTGGGTGAAGAAATAATTTTGAACCAATTTATTTTGAATTTTGAAACCAAAATTAAAAATAAAAAATCAATTACAAAAGTTTTTTGCCCAAAAATATGAGTATTGAGCTGGACAAGTCCAACTTCACACCATGCACCCGTTCCTAGGCCTAGGCCGCCCAACCGGACGGACGGCGGTGGCGGCGCGCGTGTGGTTTTAATTTTGGGTCCAATGAGTCTAGCCCACTTCACCCATAATCTCACCCTTCCACAAACTTGCGTGCTCATTGGGACCCATCCCGAGTGTCTCAAGTTAAGATATATAAACCCATTCAAAATCTCAAGCTTTTTCAATATGGGACAAGCACATTTTACAAATTTGTAGGAAACCTCAAAAAAACTAGTTCCATGAAGCCGAAAACGCGCGTTGAATTCTCATTCGTCCGAAAATGATTTTGAGCAACCAAATACATTAATTTATTCACTACGCAACATTAAAAATGAATCTAATTAGAAACGTTAAACATAACGCTTGGGGTCCCACTTAATTAATACTCAAAGTTAACAAAAAAAATAAAGTAACACAAAAGTCATTTTCCAACATACACACATACAAAGAGAGAGAGAGAAAGAGAGAGAACTTGAGTTTCAAATATGGTAAAAGCAGATGCTATGGAGTGGTTGCCGCTATGTAGTTTTGGTGCGAAAGAGGAAAAAGGTAGAGTTTGGCGGAAAAAAAATAAAAAATAAATAAATAACGATGTACAGTAACTCGTTTATTATAACGAAATACTATAACACTCTTAAATTTTGACACGCTTGTAACGAGATTGATGCGCTTGATTTTTTAGAGTTTATCTTGCTAGCTTAGTCGGAGAATGACTCTACTGAGTTTGATGAAGTTGCTCTTAGCTTTCATAAGTTCATATATTATTTATATTACAAAAATAAATTTTATGATTAATTTATGATTTTTTTAATTCCTTAAATCATATAAATATTAACTTAATTTTTAAATTTATCACAAGCCGTCAACATAAAATTATCAAAATCCTACATAATTATCCATTTTTCTTTATAAAACATTTACACCATATTTATATTCATATTTTTTTTATCATGTCATTACATTTTTTTTTTTTTTTTGCATTTTTTAAAAAGGGAACCCAAATTTACACGTCACACAAAACTACAAATCAAGTCCCACCTCCTTTCATTTCTTACATGCGTACACATGCCCACGCTGAATCATTCCTCTCACTCACATCAAACAAGCGTCGAGCATATTGACGTCTGTGGATCCCACATAGCCGGTAGCAAGTATTTCCTCCCATTCACCCCGTGCGCATTATAGCTCGCCCCCGTAGTCTGATCCACAAGTACCCGACCCGCGTATCCCGGGTACGCACCGGATCCGAAAACCCCTGTGCAAGCAGAAACCGCCTCCAGCGGCGCTGCGGCTGAGCCCTGAAAGTAGCCGTTGTTGAAGGGATTGGTGACGGCGCCGGCGAGGACGGTGGCGAGGTTGATGATCACGCCGTCGATGCCGACGTCGCCGTTCGGAGCCACCAGGGGCCGGGTCTGGGGACCGTAAACGGGTTGGTGAAAAGGCCAAGCACACTGACCCGGACACTGAGTCTCCGAGTTCCCAACCCAGGCGTAAACGAACCGATTTGTCCTCCCCGGAGTTGACCCGTGAGTCCCGCACCTCATGCAGAACCCGTCAACAGCGACGTCCGCCGCCGTGAGAACAAAGTTAACTGAGTTGACTCGGCCGAGTTTGGAAGCTAGGGCTGCGAGCTGGGCGTTCTTGAGGGACTTGCCGAAGGAGTAGTTTTGGTCGAGGATTTGGTTTCCGACGAGTAGGAGGGAGGAGGAGGCGCCGCCGGAGGTGTATTTGGAAGTGGTGCGCCACCAGGACGCAGCGGAGGGCGGTGGCGGGGTGGAGGAGGAGGAGAGAGAGTGGATGAAATCGACGATTATGGAGCGTTGGGAAGGGGTGAAGTGGCCGTACCAGAGGAAATTGACGGTGATGTTTCCTTTGAGGATAGCCCCGTTGTGGTAGTTCAGCAAAACTGGTGGTTGCTTCACCAGAGCTGAGATTGAAGGTTCCACTATGATGGTGAGAAAGAGAAACAGTATGAGAGTAAAACCCATTTTCAAGGTTTTTCAACTCTGACTCTGTATAATTGATTTAGAGAGAGAGAGAGAGAGAGAGAGAGAGAGTGAGACAGGATTGTGAGGAGAGGGAGTAGGGAGGAGGTGTGCTTTATATTGGCATGGAGCGGACAGCTGGAGATGCAGAGGTGTCAAGTTCAAATTTGCTAAAGTTGCAGCTGTCAACTTTTCACAAGTGAAGTTGGTAAGTTGATGTATGATCTTCTCAACAGTTCATGTCATTGAACAGACTGACGATAATATGTATGTAGAAAATTAAATTAATAAAAAATACAAAGTAATTATTTGGATAAATAATATATATATATATATATATATATTAGAGTATTGTTAAAAATTCACATTTGAAATTTTATATAGTCAAAAT